CAATATGTGGCAATTATTAAAAATACCTTTTCGTCTCTTTAGATACCATAATGTCTACATAGGAAATAATAAACTATTTGGTATTCATTTATAAAGATTTTCCTAGACCTATGTTGCCAGGGGGTTAACCTGGACATCAATCACCTAGGTAAGTTTACAAAAATTTTCTTACCTGGTGTAATGGGGTACATACATGGAATTTAAATGCAGCAATATGTATGTTTATGAATTTATGAACTTTTGCAAAATAATTTGAAATTGGTTTGAAATTTAATATTATTTACAACTTACACATTTTTTTTTGGTTGTGATGGTGATGGCGTTTTTGATGGTCTTCCTCGTCCTTTCTGTGGTGTGGATTGTGTGGATTCAACTGCACTAGTTTCAGGAGATTCTGCTCTGCTTTGGGGAAGACCCAAATGTGGACAGCATCAAATTATGATTTATAATATAGGAACTAAATATATGCAGTTTAGAGTTACACATACTTACCTTTGCTGTGCTCTCCTTGATGCTCGGTGCTGTTTGCTTTTGGATTTCTGTTCTGTATTTCCACTTTGTCTTTCTTCTTCTTCCTCTTCCTCTGCTGCTGGAGGTCCAGATTTTTTTTTGCTTCCTTTTTTAGAGGTTTTCACTGTTGGCTCCTCTTTTGGTGTACCTCCACCAAGAGGTTTTGGTGGACGACCTCTTTTACCCTTTTTTGGTGGACTGTTCTGTTCATCCTCATTTTCTAATATATCTTCTTTAAGCCTCTTTTCCTCAGGCCACTGCTGTTCATCCGATTCTGAAGCTGTATGGCCTCTTTTCCGACCTCTCTGACTGCCTTTAGGTTTCTGTTCCTGCACCAACTTAGTCAGGTCATCCACACCTAATTTCTCCTCTGGGTCTGTGACGGGTGTTTTTTTACGGCTTCTAGGCTTCTCCAATTCAGACTAAGAAGGGGAAATACCACAATTTATATTTATAAAATGGTTAATATGCATATTTTGAAGAATAAAACAAATTATCCATATTTGTCATAAACATGTACCTAACTGAAGTATACAGTTCTTAAATACATCAGAATCATAACTATTTACTTGCTTTCGTTAATAGTTTTTAATTAAAAAAAATTCTCTGGGGTAAGACGCTAAATTTTCATTCTTACTTTTAAGCTAGTGCCTTAAAAGGAAACCTCTCAAGATCTGTATCTTATTAAGTTATAAATTTTAGTGAAAAGCTATTTCATAAAAAAGAACATTCTAAATTCAGTGCTTGGTCCTGAAGGAAAACTATACTAAAGTATGTTTTGATAGTCAATTTAAGTAATTCTTACTTTACCACATAGTACATCATAAGACATAAAATATCAACTATGTTATATTATTCTTACATCATAAAAGAACTATTTTTATTTTGCACATGGAAGTTGCAAGATACAAAAGTTAAAAATATTCATTTATTAAGAATTTTGGAAACACTTCTGAATCAGAGATACTACTTCTTTCTAGGTATAACTGAAAACAAAAAAATAAAAATAAATCAGTGGCTTTCAAATTTAAAATAAAATCCTCATCTATATTCAAGAATTTATGTGTAAACCAGCTGATGGAGACCGAAGAAATTCTCTAAGAACTCAGGAATGAAGTGTATGTGCGAATGTTTATAATTACCAAGTTAATTTCCAAAAAGTCTATGCCAATTTATACTCTTAAAATTCAGTGAAAAGAAAACAGCAAAAACTATTG